TGAATAAAATATATTGTAAACAGGCTTCAATTGGGATTGGCTTTTTTCCACACACCCATTACACTATACACAATTTAACCAACGCACAACCCAACTAAAATCAAATGGAAGTTTTATCTTTATGTCATACATCATGTGAAATATTAATTGATAAGAATATTTTACCAGTGAAGAATCTGCTACAGAACCCAAAGCTAAAGAAGTAAAAGCTCTAAGACATCTTGAGTCCTCCCTAGAAGGTGGGTAGGAAGAAGAGTCCAGAGATATTTATTAGATACACTTGTAACAAACACGAGTGACCCTTCCGCCTTCATCACATTGCTCCTACCATTCAGTTCTAGCCCTCCGTTAAACTTGAGGTTATTCTGGAACATGCTCTGCAATAACAACTACAAGTGTTTGAGTGAGCCACCCAACATTTATGTTAGCTTTTGAATGTAAGGCAAGGGAAGAGCATTCCAAGTGACATTTACACATTGTAGAGCTATACTATTCAATAGATGGGACACTGTTCACTTAGGTCAAGACAACTTAATACTCTAGCACAATTACTGTAGAGATTAACACAATTATTTAAAATGTGAACAAAATAGTTAAAATAGAATAAAAATAATAAATATTTTATACATTCATGCATAAAGAGATACCTATTGGACTAGCAACTTGTTTATTTATTCATCAAAGTTTTAATGGACCAGGAACTATCTAGGTTCTGAAGGGATCAAGATAATTCAGATAAACTAATTTTATTCAAAAACTATTGAGAGTCTACTATATGACAGGTTCTGCTTTTAGAAGCCAGGAAGAACATATAAATATATAATAACATATAAATATATAATGTAGTGTTAAGTATTGTGAAGAAAGGTGGCTACAAAGTCAGGGTGAGAGTGGTTGTGTGTGTGTGTGTGTGTGTGTGCATGTGTTAAGTAATGTGGTACTTGAAGCTAAGGAGGATCTGGGGAAATATTAGGCTAGGGTAAGAGCAAGTGCAACATCTTGAAGGAAGGAAGGAGTTTGGTGTGTTTGAGGAACAGCAAGATGGCAGGTGTGGCTACAACAGAAATATGGAAGAGGAGAGTATCAGGAGATGAGGTAGGAGAGGAACCGAGACAAAGTCATGGAGTGTCGTGTACATGATGATGAAGGATGGGGTTTGAGTGTAAGGGGAAGTTATGGGAAGAGTTGTGACAGTAGATATTTTCTCTGCCAGGTGGTGTGGAGAATTGACTATAGGGGTCAAGACTGGAAGTAGGGAAATGGAGGCTATTATGAGAGATGATGGTGGTTTGCCCAGGAAAAGGCAGTGGCAGTAATGGCAAGTGATAGAGTTGGGGATGTACTATATTTTGAATGTTGAGCTGATCTTGGAGGAGAAAAAGATAATAACTAATATTTGAATGGAGAAGGAGAAGTCGTCATAGAAAAAAAGGAGTCAAGGATAACACCAAAGTTTTTGTTTTCAATCACCACTGAAGATAACGGTCATGTTCTTATATGGGGAAGACCAAGGAAAGAGTAGATTGGGGGAAATAAAAGCTTCTGTTAGGACAAATTAAGTTTGAATGCCCATTAAATGGCACATGGACAGTTGAATATATGAGTGTTCTGGGGTTTTGGGGGTAGAGATATAAATTATCAGTATGTAAATAATATTTTAAGCCATGAGACTAGATATGATTAACCAGGACATGAACTTAAGTGAGGAAAATGACCCAAGGGACTGAGGAGTGAGGTGGTTGGGATGAGATAAAGGAGGTGGACAGGGGAAATGGAGAGAGATTCACTAATGAGTGGAGTAAAACCAGGAGAACGTGGTACCCTGGAAACCAGGTGAAGAAAGTGTTTAAGGAAGCCTTTATAATAGCTTCTAAGAAACCAAGAAGAGGATTGGATTGGGAAGGTATAAACCCTTCCTTTAAGGAGCTCACAGAGCAGTAGGAATGGGAAATAAGGAAACACACACACTGTTATGTTACTGTGGATGATGTGCCCTAGGGATATAAACACATTTCTGGAGATGGACTGGAGATAAAGCAAGAAGCTTGCTTACAATGGTAAGGAAAGCTACTTGGAGATATACAGTACTTTTGGATCCTGTTATTTAGGAGGAAGGAATAAAACCAATATTTCATAAAACTTTAAAAACATTTGCTTTTCTATTTGGTTGATTTTTCTGCCACCACTCATGCAAAACTAATATTTCCCCTTGTAAGTTAACATCTTACTAGTATTACTTCATGTAGACATAGTTGTCAATAATCAATCTACTGGTCACTATTTTATAAAGACAATAGTGCTCTTCTAGAGGATACTCTTGGAATAATATTTTTTTCTTTGTTGCATCCTTTATCTTTTAATTATATTTTAATTTACTTTGATAGCTACATGCAAGTGTACAGACCTATTCTTAATAATAACAGCTACCAAAAAGTCTAATACTTATCACATAGGAGATACCAAAAACATACCTATATTAGTTCATTTTGTTCTCATGAACGGTTCAAATACCGTTTTTGTCCTTGTTTTTACTTTGGCATAATGGAGGCCCAGAAAGTTTCAGCGACTTGATCAAGGCAACAGAGACAATGGCAGAGCCAGAAGTAAAACTGGATTGTCTGGCTTTAGAATTCATCATCTTGAGTAGCATTCTGTACTCCCACGCTTACTATTATACATCTACTTTTCTGTGGTGAGTAGTTGTTAGTGCAAAACCTTCAAAGGAAAATTGAAGTCTTTAACTTCAATGCAGTTTTCTAAAGACCCAGAAACCTAATTGCAGGTAGTCATTTCCAAGTTGGTCAGTAGGACCAAGGAATAGGACCCAACGATGTGGGTCCAAATGAAAGAGACATTTAGTTCTTTTACAGTTAATTGCAGATTCTCATTTAACACCTATGGATTTATGTTCAACTAGAGCATATTTGAGGAGTGTATGTGTGTGTGGGGGGGTGCAACTAGTGTTTTGTGATGGAGAATATCCTTCTGCTAGTAGAAATGAGCACTTCATTATGATCCTACAGGTATGTGGCTCATGTCTTCATTTCTCTTCTAACCTCACTGAAAGCTCACGGGATGACTATGTACTTTAAAAAAGTTTGCAGTGTAAATCAAGGCAGCCACGTTTAGGAATGCCTACTATGTGAAAAGAATTGCTCTCAGTGCAGTGTCTGTGATATCTTGGAAGCTAAGTAATACAGTAGCCAAAGTCTTTGAGATGTTTGATGCTCAAAGCATGTAACTAATTGAAATATAAAATAATTTAATGGCAGCAGAATCTAACTGTGTTTCAGCTTTGGTTTGCTCTCTAAAGTTTTAAAAAATATCAATTGACTTTATTTCTACACACAGGTTTATCCTCTTTCTTAACACCACTGTAAGTGGTTCACTGAATAGATGAGTTTTGGATATCTATTTTCGTAATGTTCGAAGTTTCTCCTTTTCGTAGAGTTTGAGCTCCACCTTTGATCTAAGTTTTTAAAATAAGACACTAGTCATGTTTCCTTTCCTGGCAGAAAGAAAATGTAGAATAAATAACTTTTGCTATGATGCCTTTGGGACCAGAATCATAGGAACTTTCTCAAGGCAGAGAGCCATAAATTTGTTTTTTTATTTTTCTCAAAAGAAAAGTCTATCTGTGCTTTTTTTGTTCTGTCCTCATTAAAATGTTCTTCTCTGGGTATAGTTGCTATATTTACAGAAAATCTTAAGGGATCCACTGTTAAAATTTCCTTATAATTTCTACAAATATAGAAAATGTGCTGGGAAATGGATACTATACTCACTATGGTTCTCTTCCTGTCTGCTATGTACTATTGTCATAAATCATACACACGTAGGAGGAAGGGAAGACTTAGGTGACCAACTAGCTCTGGAAAAGACGCTACTTCCCATAGGAGGAGGACTTCAAATGGTCACAGAGCAAAGTAAACACCCCCGCTGGCTTCCTGTGGGCCATTTCCTCTTTGCTGATCCTGATCCAAAGCCAAGGTGAAGAAAGAGAAATTTTCCTCTTACAAAACAAATCTCTGATACTCGCCATCGCAACCATCAAGTCTAAATACCAGTTATAAAATTTAGGTTGCGGTAAGCTTGAAGAATTTTGTGAATTTGCACTTGAGAAACTTAATAACATTTGTTTGGGAAATTAGGAGAAAAAGTCAGAATCAAAATGGGAAAATTTAGCTAATGATATCATATTGACAAGTACACCTATAAACTTTAGAACACTTGAAAAGAAAAAGTCCACTGAAAGAAGTTCTGATTACAGGTTCTCAACTGTCATGCTCTAAAGTACGTTATGCTCAATTTTATCCTTTTCAGACATACTTTAAAATGATTCAGGTCTTATTTGTATTTGTACTTTTATTTCTTAAAACACATCAATTAAAAATGTTTCTTTTAATGCAAATGTTTCTTTTAATGTAGATTGTCTAATTGATGTTTAAAAACTTTTAATGCTTTTCTCCCCATTTACACCTCAGGAAAATGAAAGTACAGTATTTTAGCACCATATGTTATAAAAAATTATTATTTTATATATTAATTTAAGCATTTTCATTTATGAATAGCAGCATGACGTGAATAGATAAAATGTGGCAAGAATATTTCTTTTATCAGTTGTGCATCTAGTGGTTTCTTCATTCTTTGTTTGATAGGAAAGAATTATAATACAAGTACACTACATTTTAAAATGTTCACAATAAAAAGCTGATGATTTTTCAGGCTAATTTTGAGTAAAATCTCTGGCTCCAAAGTCTAGAGAACAGTTCAGGGTATTTTCCCAAGGTTATTCCTTTGCTTTGGAGGGGGAAAGAGTGTTATAATCCTAAGAGATGCACAGACCCTCATCTGCCGTTCTGGCAAAGCCACATTACACCGACTAACCTGGTGACTCCCATGCCCATGCCAAGTCCTGACACTTCTGCTCAGCCAGGCCCTTCTGGGCTTGGGCTGTTACCTCCTGCCCTGTGCACAGGACACAGAGCCCTTGTGCTTACCTGCGTAGTGGTCAAACACAGTGGGCACGTACTCCTCGGGGAAGGCGTCATTGGCATAGCTCATCAGCAGGCAGGTTTTCCCCACAGCACCATCCCCGACCACCACACACTTCAGCATCTTCTTCTCACTGTCGTTACCGCCACAGCTGCAGCTGCTGTCATTTCCCTCTCTGCAGTTCATTCTTGCGGCTCCAGCTGCTGTAACTGCTGCCGCTTCCAAAGCATGTGAAGTGATGCGAAGAGAGCACCAGGCTAGAGTTTGCTCTGCCTTCCTTTGGCTACCTTAGATCACCAGGCAAGGCCCAGGCCAGGGTGGGCTCAGTCGCTTACCATCCTGGTGAGGAAAGGTGCTGCACACTTGGGGGCATGGTGAAAAGGGTCTGTCCCTTCCCACTGTAGTTTGAGCTAGGAAACCCTCATTTCCGCAGAATTCTAGAGGTGTCCTGGCAGTTTAGAAATTTCAGCAGCCAGAGCGCTTCACTCTGCTCTCCACATCTCCAGCCTGGCTGAAGGAAATTTGCTAAATCTTCCCCATTTTCCACTTCACATCTAACATGGAGGAAAGCTAGGCTTTTTAATGGAGTTTTCCTCTTGCTTCCTCCAGCTTGCAGAGTGTCAGGAAATCATGGGTTTCCTGCTGAATTCCATATTAGGATCAGTGGGCTGGAGAAGGCTGCAACAATGGGAGCTCTGTGTGTGTGTACGTTTGTGCTTCTGGGGAACGATGCCAGCACCGGAGTGGGAAAACACTAGGGGTCCCTCTGCAGACGCAAGCTGTCCAACTTCCTGTCCCACCCGCTGCTGGTGAGGCCCTCCGCTTGGCTTGTGGCTGGCTGGGGAGAAGCCGAGAGAGGGTGGGGAGAGGGGGAGGACTGCTTGCCACAGAAAGAGAGGGTTTGGGTGAGCGGAGAGAGCCATCCCAGCAACTGTAGGATAACATATGACATCACCCTCTCTGAGTCACCAGTTAAAACTGCGAACTAAAACCGGCCAGTTTTTTCTTACTTCAGTGAGAAACCTCAAGTAATTCTTTTTCTGCAATGAAGAAGAGAACCTTCCAGAGTCATAATGTTTTCAAAGGGAAATTTTTCTGTAGGTCATAGGTATAATATGCGTGATCAGGTTCACAAGCTACTGCTTTTGAGCATAATGCTCAAGCATGTGTTCTGGGTTACAAACTTTTCTTCTTTTTTTTTTTTTTTAAAAATGGTTGTAGCACATAAGAATCAGGATGTTTGCATTTTCTTATTAGTAAACAAACACATATTCAAGGCTCATACTTAACTCTGGTGGAAATGGGAGGATATGGAATGGCTTTTTGGTTTGTTTAAAGTCCCCCAATGCTTTCCCTCTTTGATTTAGTCCTCTCTCCCTTGGGTCAGCCTGGCCCTCTTCAATTACAAAGGAGCCATTGGCAGCTAATTTATTTGTCTGTTTGCTCCCTCAAAATGAAGCCCCTTTGAAGTTCTGCATTTGATTAATGTACTTGGTCTTGGAAAAGAAGTGGAACTCTGTAAATGTTTTTGACAAATGAGTTAAAATGGGGGAACTTTTTCTCTTTGGGATTTTGAGAAATGCAGATTATCTGATTGCTTTGAGTTTTTCTGGGAGAGGAGGGAGGGAGAAAAGTATGTTTCAGTAAGCGGCTATCAATAATATATACCTCCACATATTATATATATGCCATCATGTAATAGATATAGTCCCAAATTTCCTTTGCTTTGTGTTAATTTTTGCCATAATGCTTAGTGTGCCAACATTTCTTTCCTGGAATGGAAAGGCATTTCAGTTAAGTTATAAAAAATTCCCAAAGCTCAACGATTTAAAATAGCCTAAGCATTTCTTGCTCACATTGTATTCCTGTTAGGTGTTGTTGTCATCTTCAGGGATGCAGGCTGGCAGAACATTAATGAGCATAGTGGCAGAGGAAGCATGAATGTGAGGAAGAGGCATTGACTCTCACAGTCTCCTCCTGGGAGTCACACCTCTGCTCACAGTAGGTCAAAGCTAGTTACTTACTCATGTTGGGTTGTTCAGGAAGGTCAGAGGTATAACCCTACCATGTGCCAGGAAGGAGGAAACCAAGGATCGCTAAACAGCCTGAATGGGACAACCAGCCACAGCTTAACTGAGGTTGTATTTGCAACATGAAAGTGGAATGGTTTACGTTTAGTGCCATTTTGAAGCATTTGAAGACATCTATGACTATGTGTGATTTATATACTTTTATTTTCATTAAGTCTACCTAGAAGACTTGGAACATATGATAATAAAGTTGCAATTGGAAAACTTTTGTTTTCCTGAAAAAAGGGCTCAAGCATGAAGATGGCTGCCAAACAAGTCAGTGTAGGTGAAGGAGTTGTTGGTAGTGCTAAGAATCCCTCTGAAGATGACCAAGATCACTGAGCACAACGTGATGACATGTGTTTAACAGAACTTTGAGGGGGTTCTTCTTGGGATCTTATCCTTGACATTGGCCAGTAAGTGTGGTACTATGCGCTATTCACAGTTTTCAAACATGGGCCTGCTCCACTAAAAGCCTGTATTCCTCACTACAAGCAAGTCCCAGTCCACTTACCGAGCACATGGCCTAGGCAGAAGTTGAGAACAGGATTGAGATGAAATTCTGCCATATCTGTGAATTGCCTAAACCTTGGATCATCAGACACAGGTCTAAGTCCCTTCTAATTGGTACGTGAACTGTGAATTGAGACATTGAAGACTTGAAGCAGCTACTGATGTGTCCTTGGACTCGAGGGGCTGGTTCACCTGCCAGATTGGATTTTATGCAGAGATAATTTACGGCTATGGAGAATGTTGGTTTTAGTTCACAAAATAAACTCATTTCATCACTGTTTACTGCTCCCTAAATTTAATATTTATGAAGAAAAAATTTTGAAACATCTTAGTAAAAACAGCAAAAAGTTAAAATTTTAATCTCAGCCTGCAGATTAAGTAGATCACATGCTCGTGTGAGAATAAATCTTTTGAAATATAAAAATGTTTAAATATCAAAAGACTGACATGAACAAGAATAATAAAATCTTAAAAGCAATTTAGTATTGTTATGGTTCTAGGAGTCCACAGAATTGTTTGATTGCCCAGGTAGAATGGTGAAGAATACACTTTGATTCTGAAGGTTTGAACGTATAAATTTGGAAGTGATATGAAGGCTGCTGTCTAAAATACTTGTTACCAGATGCCTGTACTTTTATGTCTTGGGCCATGTAAATGATCGAGTAGTGGTTACACAGCCATTAATTACTGGGTTTACCTCACCACCAGGTTTGCACAAACTTACCAGTGCATGGTGAAGCGCAGTTGGGTGATATCTTCTGCTTGTTCCAAGAGATCTTAATTCCCTGACTCCTTTTTGTCCTCTGTCCTTAACTTCACACAAATTTCCCCCAATGCCAGCAGGGCACTTTTTTGAATGAGATTTGATTCCTCTGATTGTTTCCAGTTTTACTGTGACTTTAGTAGAAGAGTTTACCTTACTCTTCTTCCTTTCCTTTTGTTTTTTTCTCTTTCCCTTCCCCTTCCCCTTTCCCATTTGTCCCCGTCCCCTTCCCCCTTCATGGATTATTTCCACCTCAGACCAAGTCCCCTCTGGGGCTTCTCTGGAACTCAGATCTGTAATGGTGGTGGCTATGGGGTGGTGCTAAATGGTTATTTGGATGCTGACCCAAATCTACTGAGCCTACATCTCAAGATCAGTTGCAGATGCTAAAACTGAACAAGCTGTCCTAGTGCTGGCCTGGACTGGAACTGCTGCTCCCCTGGGGGTGAGCCATTGCCATCAGTGATGCTCATGTATCTGTTTCTCATGTGTCGGGCCACCTGCACTCTGCCTCTGGATGTTGCCCATGTCATGCATCATGTCATGTCATGTCTAATCATATCAGCCACATTTTTTTGGATCTGATCTTTTTATAATTCCAGAAATGGCTTTATTTTTCCTGCTTGGAGGTGCCTCTTTTTCCTCCTAATCTCTTAATTCCAAGAAAAGTGAGTTACTTGCAAATCATAGGCAGAAGAGGCTTTTTTCAGTACTAGAAAAGACCTCTTGGCCAGTAATGATGAAGGGGTGTGTATGTGCATTTCTTGAATATTTCACTATTGCAAAGTTTAACACTGAATACCAAATGTTGCCTTGGAGGAAGAGAGTCTTGTGCATTATGTGGTTCTTTAAAAAATTGGTCTCCATCTATAGAAACCAGATATTAGGGACCACTAAAATTCCCCCTATCCGGAAAATATGGAGATATATTATAGTTTAGAGAGAATTTTTCCACTAATTCCTGATCTTCCAGGTCAGAGAGATGTTTTGGAAACAGAAAATTTGAGGTTGAATTTGTACTAGATTGTCTCTGCATATGAGTAGCTTCTGGAGATAGCTGTCTTGGAGTCAAACAAAGATCTTTGGTAATTACTTTGGCTGGTTAGGGACATGGGCCCAAGAAGGATAAGGCTAATGTATTGGGCATTGTCTGGGTGGGCAACTTTCACAGAGTCACTGCCACAGGGTGAATATAGGGGTGTACTAAAGCCCACTGTCCTTTTTGTATCTGAGCTATATTAGAGTGAGAAAGATGGGTGAAAATCTTCCACTTCTGGTATAAAAACAGCTCAAAGTTGCCCTTGGTTTCAGATGCATGGGTAGCATCAATGTCATATAAAAAATTAATACACAGAATGAAGAATTAAAGGCATCTCAAAAACCTGCTGAGAAAATCTGGCTCTGTTGTATGGAGGGGGGCAGCTTAGTTACTGTACTGGATTAAACACAAAAGGAGACCTCCTCTGAGCCTGGAGTTTACTGACCAAACCCCTCTAGGTAAAACACTAAATGCAGAAGGGAACACAGTTCTACCTTGTGGACTGAATGTGTTTGTTCAGACTGCCTGAACAGCTCATTTACTAATTAATCTTTACCTAGAAATCACCTGCATCAGAAGAGAGTCACAAAGACTTCCAGGGCTTAAATGAGACCACACTTCAAATGTCACATTCTGTGCTGGTATATAATATGGACTGGGAGGAAAGATCTGGGCACTGAGCCTCAGTGGAATGAGTCAAAGAAGGAGTTATAGCAAGAAAATATCTTCAAACAAATCTATTAAAACCCAAGGACAGAAGAAGGAAGAGAGAGAAAATCCTCTATGATTGTAATCGCATAAGTCATTGTATGAAAGAATGCATGGCTTTCAGGTTAAGTGTCCCAGAAAACTCTTACCTTATTGTCAAGATGGAGAATTCTTGCAAACTGTTTGTTTTCCAGATAATAGTATGACATTTCTCTTTTTATTGTTTTTCTATTCACTATTGTGTTGTTTTATTGAAAGTATTCTTGGTATTTCAACAATGTTTAGTAGTGGTTTTTAAGGTGTTTCTATTGTTTTTGACCATCTTATATTTAGAGATTATTTTGTATTTTATTTCACTTTTTGGAAAATTAAAAAATGTAATTGGTTTTGTGAGACGTATCTCTTGTCTACTATGTAAGTCTGACTTTTTTAAACTTTAATTTTGTATGATAAAGCAATATAATTTTACTGACTTTATAATGGGAAAATGGGCAATATGCTTAAAATGGTTTGATTTTTATAAATTTCACACACACTCTTTGAGTCAAACTCTATTTCATCCTTCCATATCAAAAAAAAGATGATTCTTCAAAACTGCCTGTGTCTATAAAGAATTTATTTTTAATTTCAATTACAGCAAAACCTACAAAGAGTGATTTATTTGT